TTATGTATTATGTTAAATTACAATTTTGTATTTTTTTCACAGTACAGTTCTCTGATTGGTTTTCAAATTTAAGTTTGATTGTAATTTGAAAACCAATCAGAGAACTGTACATAAACCTATCTATGGTTGTGAGATAGTATGTAGTATTGTTGTTTTCTCTTCGGTTTATGCCTTTTTTAAGGGGGGAAAATCTTCGAACGAATCACTTTTCCCGCCTGGGTGAGGCAGGAGGAAGTGTCAGACTCTTACAGTACCTACAGACTATGAACCACCCCGTTTCTACTCCTGCTGATTAAGTTGAGAATTTAAGATACTGGGTTGCCCAACCACATACTTAAAATAGATAATCAGACCGAACATTAGCTAAAATTTGTGAAGCCAAAAACACAAAATGCGCAATTTATAGCTTGCCGTTCAAGCCGCACTAAGGTCGGCATTGGAAATAAAGGACATTACTATTGTGTTATGAGTTTGCGTTCACGGGCAATTCGGCAGTCGACACCTCGCCTCGGCGGGAGTACTTCGAGGAAGACCTATTGGCGACCTGGCATTATTGTGAAGGAATATCTCATTTTTAAATCACTTAAATTTAAATTGAACTATAAATAATTACATTTTGTTTTATTTATCGTTAAAACTGTCCAATCGCAATTGCTATTAATGGGTTTATTCACAATTAAAACAGGCTTGGTCTTGAGGAATGTGTGCCATTATTTGGCCGATCTGGCGATTGTTGTTGGGACTCCAACTCTTTATTATTAATTTTACGCCTAATTGACGCATTTTTATTATTATTATCGCTTCGAGCGAACGTTTTTAAATATGAAAACCGTTGCTCGGGTTCTTCAAAACGGCATGCATTTGCATTCATCCTAACAAACTTATCATCAATACCATGTACTAAGAAGCACCCTACAGCTTTTCGTCCTAGTATCTCACATCTGTTATCAGTACAATTTTTTCGTATTTAATATACGTCCAATGGCTGACCTATTCGACGACGACAATGTAAAATTTTTTTGCAGCATATCTTCATAGGTTTTTGTAGATGGAAATGCAATGTTTAATGTTTCGATCCACTGTTCCCACGTAAACAATATTGAGGGTAAAAGCTCACAAAAACCAAAAACACCCGAACTAAGAATCGAACATGAGACATTTACAGCAGTTGCTTTGTTGTGTCCCTGATATACCAACGACCGTTTGGCTAAACCTGTGAGCTTAGCTAATGCTTATAGGGGCGTATTTGGGTATCGGTCCAAGAATGTATTTGCGCACATTCATTGACTTTATGGATCCATGATTCAACATTCTGGGACCCATCACTTGGATCGAATTCAGGTATAACGTTAACGTGTATTGAAAACATTGGAAATTGTACTCCCACCATCGGCGCGGCGTCCCAGTGTGATTATTAGGTACTACAAGTTCATTTGTTTGTGAGAAATCAGTTTTAGTTTTTGAACGACGATGATGATCTTTGTTTTTTTTTAATGCAATTTGGAATATTTACGCTGCTTTTCTTTTTTTATATATCGCTAGACGTTGACGATTAGACGCATGCCTTTTACGAGACCTACTCTGCCTGTTACATCCCATGGTTAGCAATTTCAATCAACAACAAACAGAAAATAATTATAACCGTCTACCACCTAAATATCGAATATAAACGATTGTCATTATAACTTATAGAGGAGTCACACATAGTGTTTTAACATAAAACTACATCATCACGTTTTCATTGAATCATCATAAACTCCTCAACACAACAAATTAGGTATACGTAATACTGAACAATGTTGTAACTCAGTGAACTAATAATTTAAAGAAATAAGTAATGTGAGTGCGTACAGAGTTTTAACACGAAATTATCAAAATTATAGAATGGTGCGTAGGTAAATTACACAAGTATCGTACTAATTACAAGTACGTTATTGCTCAGTTATGTTTTTACGCAAAATAGTGCCTACACTCAAAACTCCATCTCAGAGTCCATAAAAAACCAAATGTTAAAGTTAAGTATGTATATCTATACTTTTTTTTTTAAGGGGGGAAAATCATCGAATGTCTGCTCCCGCCTGGGTGAGGCGGAAGGGAGTGTCAGACTCTTACTGACTAAAAACCACCCCGTTCCTTCTCCTGCACGTCGAGCCGGAGCCCCGGTTACCCGTTAGGTTCTCCGCGACTCCGAATCGGCATCGGCCCTATTGGGCCCCATCTGTGGTGGTCTGATGGCTCTTTGAGGCGCGCGCGGAACGCGACACGCCGTACGCTCGGGTCTGTTTCTGGTCGGACGGGGAGCCACCCATGCTCGCCGTCCGCAGGCCCGCGCTTACGGTGGCCGGAGATCGTCCCGCGATCCCCGACGCCCGGTGTGTCCTTCGCGATGGCTGGGTTGCGAGGAGGCAGCGCTTCGCTGCCTCACGCGTCCCGCCTCCTCCTTAGCTAGCATGACTGCTTCGCAAAAGGAGGAGACGGCATCCCAATCCCCCTCGCTCCGCATCATGGCCTGCACTAGGCCCGGACGCGAGAGGTCGCCATCGCCGATCACTTCCCTGAGGGCACGGCGGTGCTCAGCCCACGCGGGGCATTCTCCCACCGTGTGTTCCACCGTGTCCTCAGGGCGGTCCTCGCAGTGATGACACGCGGGCGTTTCCTCCCGCTCCATCAGACACAGGTACCTCCCGAAACTTCCATTTCCGGTGAGGACCTGCGTCAGGCAGTAGGTGAGGACGCCGTAGCGTCTCTCAAGCCACTCCTCAAAGAGGGGACTTACCGCTGCAATGGCAGCGAGCCCAATGTATATCTATACTAATATTATAAAGAGGAAAGATTTGTATTTTTGTATGTTTGTAATGAATAAACTCAAAAACTACTGGACCGATTGCAATAATTTTTTCACCATTAGAAAGCTGCATTATTCAGAAGTAACATAGGCTATGACGCTACGCTATAATATGACGCTAGGTCCTATAGTTGTGGAGCAGTAACCAAAAATATTTTAAAAACGGGGGAAAAGTATCGTTTCCGAGGCCTTCCGTGGCGAAAAATGCTCTATAGATGAATTGTTCATCTTAACATTATTTTTAAAAAAGTTCGCGAGAGCATATGTCTACCTTTTATAGTTTACCCATAACAATCGTTTTAATGAATGGTTTAATCCTTATAAAAGTTTGCTCTAGATAACTTTTGAATTGTTCAATCGGTCGGCGCCATTTTTTCCCGTGTTGCTATTTGCCAATTAATTACAAGAAATTAGAATTAATGATAACTATAAAACGTCATTTCTACGTATAAAATGTGCATAGAAGTGACGTCACGCGACATTTTAAATCAATATATCGTCAAAAGTATTCGTTTCTGTAAGAAAATAAAAAATACGTGTCTAATGATTTAAAATAATCTACCAGATCGACATTAAAATAAAAATGAGCCATCTACCCTATAAGGTGAACATTTTTTATGTTTAAATAAATATGATTAGCTTACACTTCATTGGTAAATCCCGAGTTATATCACAAAACTAATTGTAATTAATTACACATGACTGAATGCTAATATTAGTCCTTGAAATCCCACAGTTTACATTTATGTCGGCCGAGGCCAGGATTTGCCGATATTCTTTCCTATAGAGGTAAAAACCGATCTTCTTTTAATCTCTGTGGTTATCTCTGGTGTGGTTAAGGGTTCAATAAAACTAGGTGCTCTCATAAAGCTTTCATTTTATTAGTTAAACAAATATCACTTTTATTTACAACCAAAGCGATCACAAATTATAAGTAAAACTATTCGTAATCACCTAAAACTACTTAACAGATCGAAATATTTACAATAGAATTAACAATCGTTTAACTGGCGAAACAGTCGGTGCGAAGAGGCTGAGGCGGCGGGGGCGGGGGCGGCGGCGGCGGCGGCGGCGGGCCCGCGCGTCGCCGGCCTCACGCCGTGGCCAGCGGCTGCGTGACCACGGGCTCGCGGCGGCGCGGCGACGCCTCGTCCGCCGCCTCGCCCGCCGCCGGTTCCGACAGCCGCAGCGCCACTTCCAGGTCGCGCAGCACCTGCGAACACGGCCCTCCGGTCAGTCACGGCGAGCGTGATACCGCGTGGTACCCATGCCGGCGCACGGGGAGACACTGACCTCGGTCTCCTTGTGGTCGAGCAGCGCGAAGCGGCGGTCGAGCGCGGTGAGGTGCGCGAAGGTGAGGTGGAGGTGCGCGTGCAGCCGCAGCAGCGCCAGCTGGCGGAAGTGCGCGGCGTACATGTGCGCCACGACGTGGAACAACAGTCGCACCACGCGCCGCACCACGCCCTCGAACTGCGCGGGGAACTCGTTCGCTGCAAATGCCACAAATTGCCACAATGACATTTGATAATTCTGAAACACGTTTATATCTAGCTACCGGAGATCGGCGACGGCCGGTTGTGGTAAGGTCGGAGTGGACCGACACCACACTCCTCTGGGTGGCCACCAACCTCTAGGTGGTCTGTGTACTTTGGTATCACTGCAGTAAGATAAAGAAAGAAAAGAGAATTTGATGTTCTCAAAGGCATTTAGTAAAAACTAGTTTTGACTAGGAATGAATGAAACTAAACAAGAGCTTGTAAAAACCCGTTCTATCAATAGGGTTGCCAATCGTACTCTAAAATAGAGTATTGACTTCTATATCTATAATCTGTAACACTAATACACAATGTTTACTTAACTAGTTCCAGTCTGTAATAAAATGCAAAAACCCATGGTCAGAATAAAAAGTTTACTATTTAATGTAATACATAAGTGATTATTTAAAAAATACTTCAGTTAAGCGAAAAGTACCGACCGATTTAAATGTTTGGTATGTATGCACATCGTGCAATAACCTGCTTATCGAGCTGTGTAACTATTAAGCCATTTGTGCTGTAGGCTAACCTAGTGTAATAATGAGACTGTTTTTTTTATTTTGAAAGAAAAATTGTTATGTGCTAGTCAGAGTACGAGAAAATCCCTTTTTAAAGGCACAAAATAAATGACACAATTTTTTGTAAGTCCGTACTCTTTATTTACCTCCTTTAAAACCAGATAATACATTCTATTTCTTCTAAAAACCTACCTGGCAACCCTATCTATGAGAAACCCGGTTTTAACTGTAACATAACAATTTGCATCTATGTGGATATTATTGCCGTGCCCTGAGTACGGACCCCGAGACAGAGAACGGGGGTTCTCAGGGGCCCCCGAAAGACCGACGATTTCTACGACGGACACCGACCCGCTGCCCGCTACACGTTGCGCGGCAACCGGCTGCCCCGCAATGTATAGCGGGTTCGATTCCCGCACGGAGCAAATCTGTGTGTGTTCCACAAATTGTTGTTTCGAGTCTGGGTGTCATTTGACCTTGTTTGAAAATGCACCCACGATAGAGGAGAAAATCCTAACGTGGAAAAAGAAACATTCCAAAAGGCCGCGTATTCCAAGACGGCCCTGGGGGCTTACTCTTGAATCCAATTCCGATCGATCGACATTGGTATTGTGAAATTTCGTACTCTTGATTTGTAACACTAGCGCCCATTGCATCCGTATTGCGTGGATATTGAATGAACTAAATGGTATTGAGTTTGGCTTTATATTCCGTCCGTACTCCGAATGCTATTGTAACAGCTACGATAGGGGTTGTATAGTGTTAACATTGAATAATTATTGAGATTTTGTTGGATTGAAATTGTATTGGCATTGAGATTGGTTTCAAGAGTAAGCACCCTGGTGGTAATAGAAGAGTGATGTAATTAACTTACCATACTTAGTAGGAAAGACGGTTTCGTCGTTGACAGTCTTCTGCGTGAAAGTCATCACGTAATCGACGTACTGCGGTGCAGCGACGCGGGACTTCTTGCCGCGCTCGTCGTACCAGGCGTAGGTGCGGCCGCCCGGGCCCGTCATATCGGGGCAGCTGGTGGCCGTGCAGAATTCCGACACCGTGCCGTACAGCAAGTTCACGTGGTCGAATAGCGCCAGCGCTGGAAACAGTACACAACTACCTTAACTCGTGAACCGATACAGTATCTCAGGACACCACTACACTTAATCACGTCCGTAAGTACATTAAACATCCAATCATCCAATGACTTCTTCCACCTTGGGTTAGGCGAGAGAGAGTGTCAGACTCATACTGACTAAAAACTACCCCGTTTCTACTCCTGCTCTTCGAGCCGGAGCCCCGGCAACTCGTTAGGCCTTCCGCGGCTATGTATCGGGCATAAGCTCTACTGGGCCCCATATGTGGTGGGTCTGATGGCTCTTTGAGGCGCGCGTGGAACGCGACGCGCCGTACGCACGGGTCTGGTTCTGGTTGGGCGGCGAGCTACCCTTGCTCGCCGTCCGCAGACCCGCACTTACGGTGGCCGGAGATCGTCGCGCGATCTCCGACGCCCGGAGTGTCTCCTACGATGGCTGGGGCGTGAAAAGGTTTGTTCCCTCACGCGCCCCGGCCATCTCCTTGGCTAGCATAACTGCTTCGCAGAAGGAAGAGACGGCATCCCAATCCCCCTCGCTCCGTACCATGGCCTGCACCAGAGCCGGACGCGAGAGGTCGCCGTCGCCGACTACGTCCCTGAGGACATGCCGATGTTCAGTCCACGCAGGGCACACCGCCACCGTATGCTCTACCGTGTCCTCCGGGCGGTCCTCGCAGTGACAACACCCGGGCGTTTCCTCCCGCCCAATCCGAAACAGGAACCTACCGAAACTCAAGTGTCCGGTAAGCACCTCCGTGAGGCGGTAGATGAGCACGCCGTAGCGTCTCTCAAGCCACTCCTCAAAGAGGGGACTTACCGCTGCAATGACAGCGAGCCCAATTGAGGTACTCCTGTAGTGACACCCAGACGAATAATAACTATATGAAACGCACCTAAAGTATTCCACCTACCTATCTCACCTCTAATGCAGTGTCATTCGTTTAAAAGAAAAATAATATTTGATTTTGTATTCCATCTACGAATGGTACTAATTTCAACTGTCATAGTGCGAGGACAAAGAAATAATAAATTCCATAGCAGAAATATTTATGACTAAAAATAAAACTATGTATAAAAAATCGACTTGAAAAACCATAATCTAAGTTATGTTTTATTTCTTATGTACATGGAAATAATGAAACAAGTGAAGGTATACCTAACGGAAATAATTGTAATTGTGTCATATCCATTTTTCTACCTAAAATCTAATCGTTAATGAGATCTGATTTCGGTTCGTACACTTGCAGATTGTAGTAAGTTGTTGAAGTGTAAAGAAAAAAGAACATGAAGTTGTGGTTGAAGAAGTAAAGTTTTATCACTGATAGTTACACACCAGTTCGTCCATATTGACCATTCCTTTCTCGTACGTAGTTTGTGTTATAGATGTCAAATGCACACTTGGTACGTGTGTAACAACCGTGTATTTATAATTAAGTAAGAATGACGCGCCGTCGTACCGACTGCGCGTCATTCTTACTTAATTCGCCGTCGTACCGACTGCGCGTCGGTCGGACCGATCTTTTCGTTTAGTATTTAAAACAAAAGCTGTCTTGTGTTTGGGGTTGATTAATTTGTATTGATGAGGACTTTATACCTCGGTAGTATGTGATTGCCAATAAGAATCTGATGATGAAGTAGTACCACAGTTGAGGGAACTCCTCAACGGTTAACAGTCGCTATCTTGTGTTGGGGTTTGATTAATTTGTATTGATGAGGCCTTTTATACTTATTTTTTATTTATTTATTTATTAATCGCACAATTTACACACACACAGAGGTCTGTGTTTAAATATCTTCCTTTTCTTTTATTGTTTTAACATGTCTTATATATTCCTATTATTTTCCTTTAAATAATTTTTCGTTGCTTCCGTCCGTGCGTCACTGCAGGGGTGCCAACTGAAAACCAGTGTTGGGTACTTACTGTGCCCAGCTTATACTGAGTTGGCGAGCCCTTTCGTCATGGACATGCTGCCACCCTGTCTCTTTTATTTTGCTTTTTTTTATATAATGTTTTTTTTTGGCTTTATTGTTGTTTTTTTATTTTGTTATTTTGTTTTATATTGTTTTCTCTTTATTGTTTGTTTTTCAATGTTTATGTTTTTTGTTAATTTTCGGTGGTCCATGTCTGGTAGCGAATAAATTATTTTTCTTGCTTTTTTTTAGAAGTTCGTGTATACAGATGCATTTTTGTAATTTAGTCGAAATTTGACATTCTTTGCGATCGGATTAGTGTGAGCTTTAACCTGGTTATCCTGCTCTTTTTGGTGTAATTACTGTTCTGTTAAATTATTGCAATAATTTGATTACTGTAATCACCCAAAAATGCCACTGGATGCAACTGGAGCTGCAAGAGCCGTAGCTTTTGCTGATGCTGGGTACAGCCAACGTCGCATTGCTCGGATGCTTGGTGTACCTCGAACCACTGTACGGGACGCTATCAGGCGCTTTCGGGAGACGGGTTCCTACACGCGGAGACAGAGGGGCAAGGCCGTCATCGGTGCACATCTGCTCGAGACGATCGTTTCATTGTGAACAATGTGCTGAGAAATCGCTTCGCCACTGCTCCCGAGGTGAGAACTCGCCTGTTTGAAGTACGAAATGTCAGCGTAAGTGAACGGACGGTGAGAAGGTTGGCAGAGAGGAACCTGACTGCATTACGTCCTGCACGCGCCCCAGAATTGCTCCCACAACACCGTAGAGCGCGACTTCAATTTGCGCGAGAATACGCTGACTGGACTACGGACCGATAGAAGGACGTTCTGTTTTCAGATGAAAGCAGAATAGCCCTACGAGGTCCAGATGGGCGTCAGCGAGTGTACAGACGACCAAATGAAAGGTTTGCTCCGTGTACAATAGTGGAAACTGTGGGTTATCAGGGAGGTTCAGTAATGGTTTGGGGGGGCATCAGTTATGACGCTCGTACCGACCTCGTAGTGTTTGATAGAGGCAGTGTTACTGCACACAGATATCTGGGGGAGGTTTTGCAAGACCGCGTCGTGACATTTGCACCATTTATTGGTGACAATTTTCAATTAATGCACGGCAATGCCCGATGCCACGTCGCTAGAATAGTGACCCAGTACCTGGACGAGGTCGGTATACGAACATTACCGTGGCCAGCACGCAGTCCTGACCTCAATCCAATTATGACTATGAGGAAAGACGCCTTCTACGATACAACAGTTAAATACAGTTATGATTGCATCAGCCGCGGAGCAGCACTTAGATAAGATGATAAGCAAGAGGGTGGTGAATTGAGGGGAATACTAACTGTGTGAGGCGAGCCACTCGTTGTAGTCGAGACCTAGCGGCAGGTCAACGAGCTGGCGCATGTCGAGCTCGGGCAGCTTGCGCTCCAGCAGCGCCTCCTGCAGGTACAGCTTGGGGTCGCCTGCTGGCTCACCTTCGCGCTCCTTGCGCCGCGCCTTCCTGTAAAACACACACACACACACTTACTGTTTCTATTTCATATCATCGTACTGAGTTTTCGTCTGCGAACCCTTGCTTTTGCTCATTCTCAAGCGTGCTTGATATCGTTAAAGATTATTTCGCAACATAAACGCAATCTTCATTTTTAAGTTCACTTATACAGGCTTTAGACGAATTCCATGATGAGAACATTGGCAAAATTAAAATAAATTGTGTCCTTCCATCAGTAGGGTCAATACAAATAATTCCCCTTGAAAAGCTTTATCCATTGCAATGCAATAACAGAATTGACAATAATCTTACTAATATTATAAATGCGAAAGTTTGTGAGTATGTGTATATTTGTTCTTATTGTATATATCTTATACTTTTATATAAAGCTGAGGAGTTTGTTTGTTTGTTTGAACGCGTTAACCTCCGGAACATGTAGTCTGATACTCTGACTTGAATAATTATTTTTGTGTTTAATAGTGCATATAAACGCATCACGCTGCGATCAAAACGAGCTGAGCAGAGCGTGTTTCATGATTTTAATTAACCTATAACGGGAATAACAATTTTAATGCTTAATTAACAAAAAACACTGTCTTTATCTATTTTAACGGAGCCTATAATCACCTAATGCAGGCTGTTGCCAACAACAGCCTGCATTAGGTGATTATAGGTCGATAGATTATAGGTGATTATAGGTTGACAAGTCTAGTGAAACTTAAATAATATATTTTTTAACTCGTCGAGTACCGGTTTTGTAGACACAATTATAGAACAATAGGTTGCGGTCACCGGTGACCGCTTGGTGTTTGACAGTTTAAGGGGGGAAAATCATCGAATTACTGCTACCGCCTGGATGAGGCGGGAGGGAGTGTCAGACTCTTAAGAAGGATCTGCGCTACCGGCGCGCAACCCGCAGTACTTATTTCAGCGAGAAGCAATAATTAGGACTTATTGAATATTTACCAGTTGAAATAATAGTGTAATAGACGGGGTATGAACATTACAAACCTAATTAGTCCGTCAGTTAGACAATTTAAAAACATTAGATACTAAATAAATTATTATGTTTTCGGCTTACTCCCGTAATAATTTGACGAGGAACTCAACTAGTTTCAAGCCATGCTAGAGCTCATATTCATGAGCAGCATTTCGCGACCTGCGAAGCGGCTACTGTCGCACTGCTACTGACTGGCTTGAAAGTAGTCGAGTTCCTCGTCAAACTATTACGTGAGTAAGCCGAAAACATAATAATTTATTTAGTATGTCTCACGAAAGTTACAATACAAATACATTAGATACTAATTTTTTATAATTTTTCTTTATAATATAAAGTTACAATACTTAGATAAAATGGAGTCAAGTTTATGAGTGAGAGGTCGTTATGTCACGTTATCCTATAAAATGTAGTAAATCGTGACGTCACACGATAATATCCTTACTAATATTATAAATCTGCATCACCGTGCCGGCACTCGTACGGTCTGGTTGTGTTTTTTGTCGCGGATCGAATTGTTATATTATTTTTTGTGCAAAAAGTTGTTTACGCTAACACGTACCACAGGTGTGCGCCGGTCCCTCCGGTTGCAGGTACCTAGCTTGACCGCACAATGACTGAGGATTACGTAAACATTCCTTCGCGGTGTGATACACCCGTACCTATAGCCAGAAATGACATACAGAGCTTATTAAATGATTCCTCGGACATGGATGTCATTGATGACGATCTTAATAAGAATAAAAAGGAGCAGTCGAGAGCGGAAAAGAGAGAAAGAGAAGAAAGCACTGAAGAAGAAGAAGGTTGGAAAGAAGTTAAAGCTACCAAAAAAAAGACTCGTCATGATAGTAGAAATTCCGCGAAAGAGGAAAAAAATGAAATATATGTTTCACATAAAGAACGTCTCCCGAAACAGTTTGCAATGGCACGTATTTTAAAAGAAAATAATATCACCGCAATAAGAGAAGTTAAATATATAAGTCCTTTTAAAATACGGTTTGCTTTTGATACTGAATTGGCTGCTCAGAACTTCTTTATGTGTGAGAAACTATTGGAGAGAGGGTGGAGATTTCAGAAAGCTATGGAACTGTCCATCTGTTATGGTGTAATTAAAGATGTAGACCTGGAATTCAGCGAAGACGAAATCCTTAAAAACATTTCTTGCCAAGCACCCGCAAAGCTTCTAAGTCTTAAAAGGCTTGACCGTCGCAACAGGGCTGAAGGAGGTTGGTGTCCCAGCGAAACCCTTCGACTGTGTTTTGAAGGTGATAATCTTCCGACGTCAGTTCGAGTGTTTGACATGAATATTAAAGTTTTGCCGTACATACACCAAGTATCACAATGTTCACAGTGTTGGAGAATGGGACATGTCAGAAAAATGTGCCCGTCCAAAAATGTTATTTGCCCAAAATGTGGTGGCCATCACGAAAATTGTGATACATCAATGTTTTGTTGTGTCAATTGTAAAGGAAACCATATTTCGCTTAGTAAGTCATGTCCAGTTTATAAGAAGGAGAGAAGGCTCAGAGAAATTATGTCCGAGTTTGGGTGTACATATCGAAAAGCCTTAGAATGTTACGTCCCACCCGAAAACCAGACCCCTTCCGTTGCTAACTTCCGTCCTCAAGCCTCAGTAAGCTTAGAAAACCGTTTTTCCTCAACCCCATTTGAAGACATTCCAGTAAATCCTCGGAAACCTACTTTTGCCGAAATTATTAAAACGAAGGCCATAATACATGCTAAACAATCTCCTAACCCGATGACTAAGGATAATGTTTCCTCTATGCCTAAAACACAAGCACAAAAAAACAAAAAGAAACCGCCTAAAGAAGACTGGATGTTTTGGCATGCAGATGCTGACGATAAAGACGATCATCAATTACCTGTTGAGGAGGAAGAGAATGATGAACGTCCTTCATTCAAAGAATTGTTGTCCAGACTCAAGGAAGTGATTTATCTGAACAATGTCAGTTTTAGTTATAAGATAAAGTGCATCTTTCAGTTGTGTCTAGAATGGTTGACCTTAGTATCAGTGAGTTTTGTTTCAGAGTGGTCGTGGGCGAATGCTTTGTTTAATTTCTTTTTATCTCGCAATGGCTAACAATTCAATTAAATTGAATGTAATCCAGTGGAATGCCCAAAGTATAAGGCCAAAGCTGCCAGCATTTTGTGAACTCTTGCGCCAGGAAAGAGTACATATTGCTGCCCTTAGTGAAACATGGCTAGAACTAAACAGTAGTTTTAAAGTTAATAGTTACAATGTTTATCGCACGGATCGTGATGATTCATACGGCGGTGTAGCTATACTTGTACACAAATCTGTTAAGTCGCAGCTGCGGCGCATTCACGTTAATAATATGGGTATTGAGGTAGTGTGCGTGCAATTATTTAACTGTGACCCGATCGAATATATTGTCTCTGTTTATTGTCCATCGAGAATCTTTACAACTGAACAGGATTGGGATACTCTTTTTTCATTATGGACTTCTAAAACACTTATTCTGGGCGATTTTAATGCTCATCACACAAGTTGGTCATATAAGACGGACCACCGAGGCAGTATTATTTACGACTCATTAATCGAAAACAGGTTTTTCTGTTTGAACAATGGATCACATACACGCGTCCGTTTGGCTGACAATATTTTACAACAGTCTTCCCCAGATATGTCTCTAGTTTCTGTTGACGTAGCAATCAACTTTAATTGGACTGTTTTAAATGAAAACCTGGGTAGTGATCATTTAATAATTAAATTGTCAACATTATGCACGACCTACTTGCCTCCTATTACAAAAAGGAATTTTAGCAAAGCAGACTGGACTTCATACAAAAAGTATCTGGAACATAAATTCCAAAGCCTATGTTTACCAGATAACTTACAAGAAGCTTATGACCGTTTCTTAGATGTTTTAAATGACGCGGCTAACCAATTTATTCCTATGTACAAGGTTAATCAAAACCCTACTTCTGTTTTCTCCCCGAAACCATATTGGACCCCAGATCTGTCACAAACCGTGGCCCATCGTAGGTTAGCATTATCCAAATTTAGACGTAATCCCACACCTCAAAACCTTGAAGATCTCAACAGGAAAATAAGTATATCCCAAAAGCTAATTCGTCAGGCTAAAAGGGAGAACTTTCAAAACTTTTGCTCCTCAGTTGATCACACCACATCATCTAGCGAAATGTGGCGCAAAATGAGATGGTTAAAAGGCTACCGTTCACCCAGAAATTTTGTAGACGCCCAAAGTTCCACAAATCTTCTACTTTCAGTAACACCTGATTATGTATCCCCACCAATCCCTACTATTTACAATACGAACCCAATGTTAGAGTGCGAAATCTCTTTTCAGGAGCTAGTTAAATGTATCAAATCAAAGGATACATCTCCTGGATGCGATGACATATCCTACTCTATGATTAAGAATTTACCTGAAGTAGGTAAGTCTAAATTATTAACTTTATTTAATCGTTTTTTTTATAACAGTTTTGTTCCCAGTCAGTGGCGCAATATTTCTATCATACCAATTCCAAAACCTTGTCGTGACCCTAGTAACATTTCTTCACTCCGACCTATATCACTACTGTCATGTATTTGCAAAATTTTCCACTATGTTTTGTATAGAAGGTTGGAATGGTTTCTGGAAAAGAATAACACTTTCTCCTCTAATACAGTCGGCTTCCGTAGAGGTAGGTCGTGTTTAGACAGTTTGAGTTGCCTTATCACTACAATTCAAACCGGTTTTTCTGAAGGTTGTTCCACTATAGGATGTTTTTTAGATATAGATAGTGCATACAACAATGTAAATAACTCTGTTTTAATAAAAGTATTAGACAATTTAAAAGTCGGGTCACGTATCTGTATGTATTTATGGAATTTTTTACATAAAAGAGTACTTAAGATAAGAATTGGCAACAGTTTTATTAGTAGATATTCCGGTATTGGTTTGGCCCAGGGTGATCCGTTATCACCACTTCTATTTAATATAGTAACGTCACATATTTGTAAACA